GTTCTCTGAATATCGCTGTCCCTGACTGTCGCGCTGCGACAGTTCGCTCAGTCGTGCTGTCGCGCTGCGACAGCTCGCTTGCGCGCGCTGTCGCGCTTTCATCACGTGACTATGAATACTAAGAAATCCCTGGATCGCTTAGCTAGTCTAAGGATCCCTATTTGCTATAAGGTCTTTCTGATGTGCTTGTCCTTTCAGGGCGCCGCCTGGACTTCACTTGTCCCGTGCTAACACGTGATTCGTGACAATAAATCCGCTATTACTAAAAAAATATTATAGCGCTAATAATTAATATCTTAGTCTTATCTTATAAATTATTAATAATACTCTCTATAACTAGTATTAGATATACGTTTAGTAAAACTATTATATTAAGTCTACGAATATTAACAATAGCTTAATACTTAACTATACTATTTAGTATTACTCTTTTCGTAATAAATATTAGCTAAGAGAAGGGAGTAGCTAGCTTTATACGCTTAATTCCACTATAGTTAAAAAGTAGCTTTAATATACTATTTTTAATAACTTTCTTATCCTTTTTACTTAATAAATAAATCTTAGTATAAATTATAACCTTATACTACTATTCTTTCTTCAAGTAAATTCTTATTTAAAGATTTTTAGGAATATTAATATATTCTTTATCTTAAAAGAGTACTTCTGGTATATTATCTAGAATCTTTATAATCTCTATAGCTTTATTAGAAGTACTATAAATTATACTCTTAGAGAAATACTTAGTTTCTTTTAATAAATCTCTTATAAGTAAAATTAGCTTAGCTCGAATATAATAAGATAGAGTTCTTAGTACTGTGACGGTTATGGTCACGAGGGCTGGACCTCACATGCTCGCTTAGCGAGGCGCTAGCGCGCACGACCTGTATTTAGTTCCCAGCTCTCTCGAGCTCTCCTTCTTTCCTCGTCTTTTGTCCTAAGAATAGAGTGTTAATTGTTCTGAGTTCTACCTGAAGCACGTCTGTCACAAGTACTAAATGTTTAATTTAATTTATAGCTTTAGTATTATTATTAGTATTATTATTAGTATTATTATTAGTATTATTATTAGTATTATTATTAACTTAAAAGTATTATTCCGAGTTAATAACTAACGCGTAGCCTATACGCTAATTCCTAGAAATATAAATTATAATATCTCTATTGTTTTATGCTATAATATTAGTGGTTAAATTATTTATTAAAGTAGAATAGATTCTAATATTATAGTTATTAGGCTTAAGAAGCTAAGCTTACTCTTCCTTTAAAGCCGGAATATTCTTATTAATTAGTATAAGAACCTTAGATTTTAGTAGTATAACTACCATATTCTTAGTATAGATTAGTATTAAGAAGAAAGGGTTTTTAGATTAAAGGAATAGTTTTATATTAATTCTATAACTACTAATTATAGCGTAGTATTTTCCTAGCTTTAAAGTAATATCTTTAAGTATTATAATATTTATTCTAATTAAGTTAGTATTTTAGGTATAAGCTTATTAATAATATATACTTCTCTCTTAAGGTTTATAATAACTAGCTTTATAAGACTTTTTAAAGCTAATATAGTATTTACTCTTTTAAAGTATATATCTAAAAGTATATACTAGGTAGAAATTACTGAAGTATTACTAATACCTTATAAATAAATAGTTTTTACTCGAATAGTAGTTTTAGCTTATAGAGTAACCTTTAATAAGAATTCTTTATTAATAAGAGTTATACTAGTTCCTGAGTCTATACAAATTTCATAATAATCTCTATTCTTTATAAACTAAATAGAGATTATAGTAATTTAATAATTTTTATATATAAAGCTATTACTTACTATATTAGAGGAAACCTTTAAAGTAATAACTAGGATCTTAATCTTATTTATAGTAGGTTTCTTACTTACTTCTACCAAATTAGCCTATAAGATCTTCTAGTACTAAAGAAGGTATAAATAAAGCTAGTTATTAGATAGTGTCGGTATATAATTATAGTGATCAGCACCTCGTACGAGAGCCTGGTGGTTCTACATGCTTGGTGTCATGTGAGTGGCTTGCCACTAACATACTTAAGCTCGTAGAGTACCACCTCTCTCTACCTTTACTCTTCACCAACAAATGAATACACCGATTTAGTTACCCCAACAGAGGGTGATCAGAATCCCGTATTCGCCGTCGTCACGACCACCAGGTCGTACCAACAGATAGGAATAATAACTTATAATATTAATAGGTTACTTTATTTATATTTAATATTAGTTATAAGATCGACTATATATCTATTAGTTTAGTTCCTAGTTTAATAGCTAACTAAAGTACTTATTTATTTAAAGTATATAAGTAATTTCTTTATATATCTAAATTAATTAAAATATACTTATTATCTTTATATTTAGTCTTTGAGTATAACTTAGATTATTTACTATAATAACCTTAGTTATTACTACTATTACTAGAGTCTTCCTTTATAATATAGATTCCTTGTTCTTAAGTACTTTATTATATATAGAATCCTTCTTAAATAGAACCTTAGTTTCTTTAATTCCTATAATTAAATAGAGGTTAATAATTATTTTCTTATTATCTATAGTTTCTATAATTATCAAAGTAACGATTATTATTATTATTATTATTATCTAGTTAACTCTAAAACTTTAATCTATTAGGCTTAGTATCTTTCTTTTCCTTTAACTTATTCTTATTCTTATTCTAATCCTTTAAATCCTCTTTTTATATATTAGGTTTAAGTATAATATTATATAAATAATCTAAATTTATATTTTATAGGTAGTTAAGTTAAAAGTTATTAGACTAGTTAGTTTATCGAGAGTTATTATTTTGCTACTTTGCTTAAGAGCTATTATCTAAGAAGTTATTCTAGAACTTACTGTAACGAATACTCAAACTGGCTAACTAAACTTGGCTGGGTGTTCGCTGGTTGGTATGCTATGATAAGAAGACTATCGGGTTGTTCACTTGTTGGAAGTGAACTCGTTACTTGTATCAAAGATGTCAAACTAATATGATAAGATTGATAACTAAGTTGAGCACGAAGCTCCTATCTAATGGCAGACGTGCCAGTCTTATATAGAACCTTCGTTCTCAGTGGTCGCCATGGTCGACTCGTCGGCCATGTCGCTCGTTTTCGTCACGTGATATTCTAACCGAAAGAAAACCCTATTTGCTATAAGAGTTACATGATAGTGCTTAACCTGTCAGGGCGCTGCCTGGTCTTCACTCGTCACCTGCTAACACGTGATTCGTGACACCCGGTATATACTAGGTATAGACGTTCTCGGCGAAGCTCTAATAACCTTTATATTATCTAGGGGATATATTCTTCGATAATTTATTTACCTTTCCTCGCTTCTTCGAACTCCTACGCGCGCGCGGTTTTAGTAACCGGTATATATTATCTATAGTCTAGTATACTAAAAGAGTTAGTTAATATAAAGAAGTTAAATAAGAATAATATAATTCCTTAGGATATAAAAATATACTATTCTATAAAGTTAAATCTTATCAATTAAATTAGGTAGAAAGATAACGTATTTATCCTAGGTATATTAATAGTATATAATAATATAAAAGAAGTATAAACTATATATAAGCGTTCTAAAATAACCTTATTAAAATTAAAGACTATAAGAGAGCCTTTCGGAGATTTAGTATGAAAGAAAATAAGTATTTCGTACTTCTTTAATAACTATAATTATAATATAAAATACGTTAATTAATTGAATTAATTAATAGTATCTAAGAGTAGATTAAGACTAGTATAATATAATAGATCCTATGTAATCTAATACTAGCCCTTACTTATTATTTTTATTAATTTCTATAAGATTATATTCTATAAATATACTTTAAAAACTTCTAACATTAAGTTTTATAACTAAAAGAATTAGTAGCTCTAACTTTATAAAGGTTTAATTAAACTAGAGTAATTTATAATACTATTGTATAAGATAAGGATTTTATATATAGACCCGGATAGCTCGATAGAAGATATTAGCTAGTATTAACTAATTAAAATATAAACTAAGCGTAACTATATAAATTACTCTAGTTTATATATAAGTGATAAACTATATAAAAGGCTTATATTAGGCGTAATTACTAATAATAACTAGAGAACGAGTATACGGTATTAAACTCGCGACGGTTATAGTAAGTGTAAGGTGTGGTTATGTTAAAATAGGCCTTGTTTCTATAGTTTTTATTAATTGTAGTATATTTTTGTACTAAAAATAGTGAAATCATCGGTTCCTATTAGGTCGCTTACACTTCTCGGCATGTGCAGGGATGGCTGGTGCTCCTGGTGGCAGCTGAGGGGATAGTATAGTAAAGTATAGAATAAACTGTAATATTTATAAACAGATTCTAGCTTTGCTAAGTTAGATATCATATACCTCGCGAGGTGGTCTAAAATCATGGAAATCATTGTTCAACGGGGTATAGAAAGATTACGAACTCGTTTGGTTTGTCCATTTCATCTGAGTCACCTCACACGTGCACTTCGATATCCGGGAAGAGCATCTGTACAATCAGATAAGATATTGATACATGGATTGAACCCACATCCAACTACGCGTGAGTAGTTAATGTTGCCTGAACGGGTGGAAGAAGTGTCTCGAATTACTTGGATTGCCAATCACACACATATTTTCACCTTGGATGACTTCCAGCTTGTCACTGGAGGAGGGGTAATTTGATCACGAGTGAGGGGCAGTTAAGCTGGGTATGAGGTACCGAACACGGCCCGAGCGTTGGTTTCAAGTCTTCGACTGTTTACTTCGTACAACGACATCCCGTAGCTCACAATCTACAAGGCTCGCCCTGCTCTTGTTATCAGCTCTACGGAGACTTGATTAGGGGCACCGTCCCATCCATGATCTGATTCATTCTCGCCACCCAAAGTTCCGAGTCTCAGTGATCAAGGAACAGCGGAACCAACAAATGGGGGTATCTCACGTGCGTCGCCCAATGCATTCGTCTTACACCGCCTCTTCCCCGCCTCTCACAAGCTCACGATTTACTGAGCCCGCCCCACAGGGTTCCTGATGAACGGATGAAGACGTTGCACGCGTCGCAGAGCGGGTCGAGCTGCTGGCAATTTCAAGTCTAATTGGAACAGCTGCAAGTATTGGGCGTTGTCGCAGCTTCATATTGCTTTGCTGTTCGCGCAGCAGGCGAGTTATCCACACCGCTAAGTTCCGGCTTCGCATGCCTTCCCCTTTCTTCTCCAGACTCAATCAATTTCAAGGCGAGAAGCTCTCACATATCGTGCAAGGCTCAGCAAATCAGCGGGGTAATAAGTACCCCACTAATGAGTTGCTTCACAAGATGTACGAATAGAGCAAGTAGGTGCTTCTGACTTGGTGCACATCTAAAGGCAATAGTAGAGGTATTCAAGGATGGGTAAATGCATTGGTTCCCTTTGGGTGTCCGACTTGGCAGTGCTTCAAGGCTGGCGAAGAGCTGGCAAGGTATTCCCGTGCTAAGACAGATGCATGTGTTGTTAAGGATATTAATTTGATACGAGAAAAGAGGGGTCTCGCTATACAGATTTGCTCGTTCTATATGACTACCCCTCCATCCATTCCTTTCATCCTCACATTTTTTTGATATCTTTTTGCTTACTCTTCGCGCAATTCTTCGACTACACTCCGCTTGACTTCAATATCAATACTGAAACTTGTAAATCAAATTTCATATCAAATACTCACCTCATACCTTCAAAATGGCGGCAGCAGTTATGTCTATGCCAGCAGTTCAGGGACTTTCTTTGGATGGTGGGGTTATGGCCCCATCACCAGTTTCCCAAAACTCGAGTCGCCATGGAAGAAGTAAAAATACAGGTAGTGTTGTCAAGAAGGGGCGAGGACGAGGATACAGTGTTCATGAAGGACGAGAGACAGCCATCTCCAAGGCCCTCACCTGGGTTTTGAAGAGAACCATCCAAGAGGGAGAACCTCAAGAGGAGGGCACTGAGAAATTGGTAGCAGATGCAGAAGGCTGGGTAGACTGCGAAGAAGTTGTAAGTCGATTTCCCCATCTTAAATATCAACAGAAGTCACTAACAACATACTTCTTCCAGCTCCAGAAGCCAAATCTCGTAGAGCTCGAAGTCAAATTCGAAGAACTACACACCGTCGTCACATCCCCAAAATCCCGCTTCGCTGTAAAGCTAAAGCCTGAATACGAAAAGGACGATGAGGAGGAAGCCAACGCACCCGACTATCTAATTCAAATGGTCGCTTCGGCTGCCCCAACCACCACTCCATCCGCCACACCCGAAAAAAAGTTAACTCCCCTCACATCCGAAACCGAAGACCTTCCAGATTTCATCGTCTACGAGACCTCATACGCCAACTACCCCCTCATATTGGCCTCTGGCGGAATCAAAAAGGCAGGCGGACAAGCCCTCCTTCAGTTCTCTACCATTAAAGTAGACGAGGACGGAACTGAGGTACGATCTGCGAGTGGTGCCGATGTGTCAATCCACATTGATCTTCGAGCCGTCATGGAAGCTGAGCCCAAGATTCTTTGGGCTCGAACGGAGACTGGAAATGTCGTTACCGAAGCCGGACCAACCTCCACCATCGACAAGAAATACTGGAAGAAAGCCGTTGGACGACGAGCCGATATCGGTCTTCTATATGAGGATGGTGTTGTCAAGAAGGAAGTTCCCATCGGATTGAGAGGCAAAGGAACCAAGGGAAAGAAGGGATTGAAGGGAAAGGGAGCCAGTGCTAATATGAAGGAGATGAAGGCCACTAGCGATGATGACTCTGCTAGTGATGAGTAGGTATTTTGTGAAGGAATTCTTGTATACGCTGGTTGGATCTTTTGGATGGATACCCCCCAACCGTTTTCTTCTTTTGTTGACTTGTTACCTACTTTTCTTTTTAGATATACAGATAAACATACAAATGGATAAGGGATAGAAGCGGTCCTTGCATAGCATAAGTAGCATAGCATAGCATAAACGAGCTTGATTTGTACTTATCGATGATTAACGATTTACATTGTTGAAGTGAGTCATTTCGAATTCCACAAGTTGAAACTCTCTCAGAGTGGGCAATGATTCGATACCTTCCCCGATTTTATACCAATGCATCGATCTAGCAATCGAATTCTTATTACTTAGGATAAATGGCCAAATCAACTTTAGATTGATAGTATTTAGTGAACCTGTGTGTATGTTATTCAGTTAAATATTATTGTTTAAGGAGAACAGGTAAACGGCCTGAAAAAGATCTTTGCTTAGAGATATGTGTAGAGCAAACCCTACACCTGTTCTTTTCAATCGCTCCTCGCAGAGCCGTATAGAAGCTCTATGTCTCTGACGGGTAAGTCTGGTTTCCACATGGAAATTATGGCTGACCCAATTGAACAAGAATATGACGGCCATTAAAATAAAGAGATATTTGCTAATTTTCTCGGCCAGAACTAGATGGTCGAAATAACAAATTATAGCCTGAATCCGAACATATTAAACATTCCACTGAGGTCAGAGGCATTCTGCGCTGGTTGCGACGATACTGTACCCTTACAAAGCGATGGTAAAAACATTAGACCACACTTTAAACAGCACGAGTGCCCTATATTTCAGATCACGAAACCGGTTTTTTCACTTCAAACCTACCAAGCAGCTATTTTGAAGTCAAGAGGGATATTTTTACAGAAGTTATTCAATTTACGGTGAAGCTACTTGAATGAGGCACCATAAACCCCCCACACACTAGCCAAAGAGTATTCTCAAATATAAAATATACTCAGGTCATAGTCGTTCAAGGCTGGAAGAATTTGTGTAGATATTTGAGCTTATCACATATTGTTCTCACCGAATCGTTCATGACTAAGAACAAAAAAACGGGCTATTATAAACACCCAAGAAACAAATTCATTGCTAAGAGGGGCCTATGTAAAGATACTTAGGGATGATTTTCTGGCTAGAAAAACCCACTGCTTATTCATGAACTGCATTTACCACTGAGAAGGTAATGCGTAAGTCATAAAAGCTTAGCCCTTTCCATAGGAGAAGTGGAGAAGGGAGGTGTGTAGTTGCAAACATCCCTACGCCTAACTGGCTGCCCAGTTTTTGAAGTTTCCAGTGAAGGGAGAAAAATGTCTGGTGGATGAAAATGATACTTTAATTGGGTATCAAGAAACGGGAAATCAGAGTACAAATGAGACGAACAATAAGTTGCACCTGAAAAAATGTCTCCTGTTTTATGGGAATAACATGTAAATCTTTAAAATGGTATCAATCCAAAAGAAAGATTCCCAACGTATTCACACAAGAGATTTCGATATGGATAGTCTTCTTCACAACACTAAGGACATCTAAAAAAGGTGTTTCCATATTGTACGTCATAATTATGGTTGTCCTAGCCCTCCGCATTTATCAAAACCCAACTGATAGGTACCCAGGACAATAAAAATGGGAACACTCTGCATAACTGGACTCAGATACCCATCCCACGAGAGCCACTTGAGATGGAAACGAAAGAACAATGACGGTTTCACTTCAATAATATGAGGTCTTATTTGGTGTCCAAGACATACTATTGACACTCAAAAAGGCCCAGAATATCAACATTTGCAAGCTTCTAGCAGTGGGAAGTACTAGGAAGTATACAACCTCGAAGCCGCAAAGTCTAAAAACAAGGAGATTCTAGATTTCGTACCCAAGTACAATCACATCTTATCAGGTGACCGAGGAGGCAAGTACGGCAGGGGAAAAGAAACCCCAAACATCTACTTGGTTGCTTTGGAATCATCAAATCCACGCTACAAGATGTGATCCCCAAAATTGACAAATGAGTGTCTGGTTTCAAAAATAGTGTTCTAGGTGTGGAGGCGGGTAGAAGAGCTGGCATGACAGTGGTATAGGTCTCTCAATATAGATTGTTTGCTAGATGAAGAGAGAAGGGAAAGGCTATACTTGCTGGAAGAACAGGTCTGCATACTGTAATATCGGAAATAAAGAGAAACTTGGTGAGCTCGATGATATTTCCCATATTAGAGGGGTTCTTCAAGAAATATGGGATCGAACTTCCGAAGTGAGTCCAACGCAAAGTTCTCCATGGTCATCGTCACGTATCTGATGTGTCGTATCACATGTCATATTCGTCTACCCAGCGTAGCAGGTTAAGCGAAGGGGATTTCAAAGGCGGCTTCATTTAAAAACGATACGGGAACAAATAACAAGCCATATATAGCGCATGAACGGCCGTTTTCTGAGATTGAATCTTGTGAATTGCAGATACAAAGAATATGAAAGGGCGAATTATAAGGAAGACAACGAAAAACATCAGTACTGATCCTTGTTCAACCTAAATTGTGTGCCAGGTGACTTCAAGTTTTAATATTCGAATGTTCCAGCCTTAAATCCTAGAAGCCTGAAAGCCAATAGAGGACGACAGTAATTGCAAAATGACAACTGTAGTCTGCGAGGTTTCCGGAAATAGGCTGTTGAACCCAGATGTCAACAAATCATATTTCAGCAAACCTGCGTCTTTCCAATGACCAAAAGCATGAGTCCAACAGACTTAGCACTAAATTCTCACGACATGAAAACACATCGACGCCGGATTTTGAGAGTGCAGTCTCCAGGCGCTTTACCTGCTTCTACCCTTCTCGTTTAATTAAAATGATATCAAGTTTGTCACGCAAAGGCGTTCCCTCTTACTCCCGATCAATCACGAGTTTCTGCGCCACTGGTATATGCTTGTTCCCTATTATTGTAGCTCAACGAATCTCCTTCATAGCACAATAAACTGTTGCTTGATACCAACTTACAAGGATTTGGAATCTTGCAGCCTCAACTACGTTGTATTCAGCTGAGATATGCAAACAAATGGAACGAGAAGGAATGTTGGTAGAATTTTCCCCCAATAAAAAGCGTGATAAAACCAACAATTCTTTAATTGATCGGAGTCGTCACGCCACATGGCCCGCTATGTTGGAGACCAACCTCCTGTAGAATTTAAATCTCAGCCGCTGAAGTTGTATCGTCGTGTTCCTGAAGTACACGAGCTCAAGTATCTACAGTAACCGGATAGCTGGATTTGTGGCATTCAGACATATGAGCAAACAGTGATAACGACAGGTATCTTGCATGCTTACGGACGTTGAATTGGAGCGAAAAGGCGGAGAAAGTGACAAGGCGGGTGTCTTATTGGCTCTTAGATGGCGCCAAAGTGGACGCTCAGATTTTCTGAATGTGATGAAATGTGGAAGGGCGGGAGTGTCAACATTTTAAGCCACTGGTATGGCGCATTCAAGCGACCTGGGCGTTGGTTTGCCTCGATTGATCTTGCATGTTGGAGAGCCAAGATTAGAGGGCTCCCGCTCTTACCGCTTACTCTATTAGCGCGGTTGGAAACAGGGGGCGAGGTCACGTGATAATGTGACAACTCCCGCTTCTTTCCCATCCTTGTTTAGCTGAGTTGGGTACCTCGCCTCGCTTCAGCCGCGATCCAACGTTCCTTTTTCTCATGTCTAGTCTTTCCGATTTTACATGTCAATTACACTCCTTCTCAATGCCGTATTATGCAGTTTGCCCTATGTTTCTTCACTTCTGTCGATAGCAAGTATCTCATCTATTGTTTGTATGAATTGCAATTTCTCCTTACGTCTGTATCATCATGGGTTCCTACGACGAATTTTCCCGATCATCGAGCCCAGCAGTCCGGTTGAGCCTGGCGCCCAACTTCATCCAGGGTCATTGATGCCTTTGCATGTCCAATTGACCATGAAGCCTCATGCGCTTTCCTGCATATCTCTTGGCCGATCGAACTCGTTCGAGCCAGTTGACCTGGCGCTCACATCCTCGATCCATCGTAAGTATCTGATATCGCCCACTTCCTGAATTTTCTCTCTACCTCCCCCACCGCCCATTTCCTTTTATTTTGCGCCTTCCCCTTCTCTTATTCCCATCAAATAACATATTTTCTTCCTCAACCTCGTACTCGTTGCTTTCTTTGGCCCTAAAATCTTTACCGACAATCTTTACTTCAAAATTCGTTCCCATCTGTTCGCATAACCGTAGCATGAATGGCTTCTGAAGCTCGCGAGGAAGCTTCCCCAGTTGGAGAACAGGGTAAGCCAAAGAAAAAGATACGCCGGGTACGCACCGGCTGCAGAACTTGTCGCAACAGGAGAAAGAAATGCGATGAGAACAAACCAGGTTGCGATAACTGCAGAAAATTCTCAGCAATTTGTCCCGGATTACCCAAAAAACAGACGTGGGAAAGAACTCCAGCTGGGGTGAAAGCTCTGGCATCGAAAGGAGCTTCTTCTAATCGGACCCCTCCGCGAATCCAACCAATCCTCCAACATCCCTCTCCAGCCTCCTCTTTCGACTTCAGCGATCTGGGATCTGAGTGGGATATACTCCTTATTCGCCTGTCAACAATATGGTAGTTTTGGATACTTGTGCACCTCAATATTGCCAGTCTTACAATCACGAAAGTTACATTCCTTATCAATTGCCATGTCTCATTGCTGGGATCGAAACCGATTTGCACAAAGAATTGTACCTTCATTTCACAGAGGTCACTTCTCGACTTCTCGCAACCACCACCACTGACACGAACCTTTTTATGGAGATTGTTATTTCGTTGGCTCTTTCGAGCAGAACAGTAATGGTTGCTCTTTTGAGCTTGGCTGGATCACATTTACTACGGGTCATTCATCCCGGGAACAGGCAAGACGTTGTTTTGGAAACCAGACGGCTCCACAAGGAAGCGATAGAAAAACAGTATACTACCATGGCAATACTCAAGAACATGCAACTAA